CGCCCTGCTGAAAGTTTTCAACATAATTGCTAAGTGGGGATATCTGTGTCTTTACAGATTGTTTTGTGTAGAGTGTAGGAGGGTTAAGCTGGCAATACTCTATACCAGCTTTTCTCAACCAACGTTCCTCCAGAGGTTTTTCGGTGTTCCTTTAGCTGTGGCTGATTGACCTTCCATCTGATGGTGTCTGCATTGTTCCAGGGCCAATACAACTTGCAGGACCAGCAGAATGACTCCAATGATCTTTTAGACATCTGTAAGGCTGGCATTCTGACCACCAATATAAGGGGTGCATTCTTTCCACTGACCACCAATGTAAGGGGTATTCTTCCCACTGACCACCAATGTAAGGGGCACCACAATAAGGCGTATTCTTCCCACTGATCACCAATGTAAAGAGACCATTTTTCCTCCTGATCACCAATGTATGGGGCATGCTTCCCACTGATCACCAATGTATGGGGCATGCTTCCCACTGATCACCAATGTATGGGGCATGCTTCCCACTGATCACCAATGTATGGGGCATGCTTCCCACTAATCACCAATGTAAAGGGACCATTTTTCCTCCTGCCAACCGATGTAAGGATCATTCTTCCCTGATCACCAATGTAAGGGGCGTTTTTCCACTGACCACAGATGAATTGGTTAAATTAAGGGTTCCTTGAGACCTCAAAATATTTTAGGGGTTCCTTTTAGGGATGGGGGGGGGGAGAGTTTAGAAAGGCTGCACTATACAATCTGATCTTCTTTAGTTGCCAAACCTATGTAATATGAGGACAAACCTAAACAACCAGTTCAGTTAGTATTCAATCAGGCAGTTGATGGTAGAACTATTGGTCACCATAGATACTTAAATTTCTTTTTTTCAATTCAATCAAAACAATTGAATCTGCAAACAACCAAAAAGCCATAACTTCCCTTCTGACTGATTTAGACCCCATTGTGGTCCCACAAGGGGGATCAGCCAGGATGGAATATTATCAATTGTTTTGCATCAATTGGCAGCACTGAGATACTTTGTTCATGAACGCGATCGTAGTTTGATCAAATTACATGGTGGAAACCGAGATGCAATTGATAACTTACGATCGTAACACAACTTATTGATGGAAATCCACTTTCTCACATGTGGTACAGTGATTGAATGGATTGTCAACTGTAGATCAATGATTCCTATTGGAAGAGATCTATCATAAAATAAATAAAAGTAAAATAAATTGTAGAATTTCCTTTAGATCTATAGTGCAAGGGCCTGCCTGATTGGATTTAAATTAAATCAATTGTCCCATTACATAGTTTTGATAAATCTACAGGATCTTGTACAGATATTGTACAATCAGGTTGTATAGTGTGCAGGCAGCCTCAGGACATAAACTGGGATGGGTATAGTCCATGTTCGATAGGGGCTACTGTGTACTGGAAGAACCAATCGAGTGTGTACTGGAAGAACCAATCGAGTGTGTACTGGAAGAACCAATCACATGATGTTTGCTAGCAATGCAGCAATTGGCAGTTGGGATTGGCAAACTGCAATTCACTAGAAAAGCTTTCGATTTCAAAGATACGTCAAATGGAAAACTTTCATAAATCCAAGCAATTCAAACCATGCAAATCTCAACCTTTATGCAGCAAAACAAACCAATTATCCAGCCGTCAGTGTCTCTTGTTGCTTGCTCTGGGCACTATGCTGTAGTTTGGTCACATTGCTCACTAATATGTAATTTAAAAAAGTCGGCCTAGGGTTGGCGTAAAAAAAAAAATGGCTACCCAAACCATCTGCTAAAGCTTGTTCCAAAACTGTTATTACTCTTGAGTCCATTTTTTTCCCTTTCATTTTCTCGAGTATGCACAGTCCTGATGAAGGGAGCCCCCAAAACGTGTTTACCTCTCTTTTTATGTACATTTTATTGAAGTCACAGTAAATCTTTTGGACTTGTCACATTTTAGTTGGACGATACATTCTCCCTAACTATTTATAGAGATGGTGGTGACTTTTTCAGATTTAGGTGACTTTTTTTATGTGTTTTTTTTTTTTTTTTTTTTTTTTGTTCACAATGGGAAAATGAGCTGAAAGTAGCTTGTTGCTGATCTTCAGTGGTGCATGAATTGCTGCCCTTATTTCTGGACTTTTGTATATCTGTCCATGAACAGTAAGTGGGTGAACAGGAGGAATACAGTGCCAAAGTATCAGATCAAAAGTCAATATATCTTTACTCTTGACAGTATAGTGACAACTAGTAGAAATGCCTTAGTCAACGTGTTTCGGGGGTCAAAGGTCCCCCTTCATCAAGGCTTGGACTAGGGTTTGCTAAAAAAAAGGATCTTAATCTGAAAATAGACAAATGCAAAAAAGCTCAGTGACCATTGCCAGTACACAGCCACTGAGATTTTCATATTCTATTTTCATTCCTAGCCCAAGCCTTGATGATTGAGAATCCTTTGGCCCCAAAATGAATTGGCTACTACATCTCTACTAGTTGTCAAAATCTACTTAAAGACTCAACCTTTTTTCTGAAACTTTTTGTTTACATTTTTTTAAAAATCTTTTTTTTTTTTCTAGAAAATTGCTTGGAACCCCCGAACATTACATATTTTTTTACAGAGGCCCTAGACAATAAGATGGCGGGTTTTGCAAAATTTTTTTAGGTCACACAGTATTTGCGCAGCCGCTTTTCTAACACAATTTTTTGGGAAAAAATACACTTTAATTTTAACACACACAAACACAATATAACACCCAATTTAAAAAAAAAAAAAAAAAAAAATCTGATGCTACGCCAAATAAATGGATACCAGACATGTACCACTTTAAAATTGCACACACTTATTGAATAGCACCAAACTATGATATTTAAAAATCTCCATAGGCAATGCTTTCTACTCTTTTACAGTTTACTGATTTAGAGTTACAGAGGAGGTCTGGTGCTGGAATTATTGCATTTGCTCTGACGTTTGAGTCAATGCCTCGTATGTGTGGTGTGATCACTGTTTACATATGCATGCGGGACCAATACGTGGGGGGTGGGGCACTTTAAAATTTTTATTTATTTTTACACTGTTTCCTTGAATTTTTTCGGATCACTTTTATTGCTGGCACAAGTATTGTAAACATCACTTGTGACAGCGATCGGCAATGACAGGTACTCTTTGTGAAGACCTCTTCTCTGCCCTAAAAGCATCTGATCACACCAAGATCGGTGTAATCAAATGTTTTACAAGATTTAAAAATGGTGCTGTATTTCCTGGGAAACCAGAAGTGATGACAGTACTCCTTGTTTCTGGTTTCCTATACCATAGAGCTCATCGGAGACCTTTCAGTCCTCCATGGGCTCTGTGGTAAGCTGCTGGAACCGCCAGCTTCATTTTCAGGACCTCTGGTGAGACGGAGATCTCGGAAAGGTGCTTGGGAGGTGGGGTTGGTGACCCCTACCAGCAACCTGTAAAAGCAATCCAGTGGCTAATTAGCCAATCGAATGGCTTTTCCAAAAAGGCTGGCCACCAGATTAAAAAAATTATACTTATGCGCTAGGTCGCATATACGTTGCTGCAGGCATCATCCCAGTATACCACTTAACACCCGTATCGTATATGTACGGTAGCAGGTCTTCAAGTAGATATACTGCCAAAAAAATAGAGAGATTTATGAGCTGATTGTTTGGTGCTCTCTTCCTTCTGTTCATCCAAAACTTCTCAAGTTGGGATGTTCTTGTCCAGTAGGATCAATCGCCCACTTTGTGTTCTCCAAGTGGCCAAGAGGGTCAAGTTGGTAAGAGCTACCATCGACTTTGATCTGAGGATAGTCATTTGAGTCCAGCTGATTGTTTGCTGCTCTCTTCCTTTTGTTCATCTAAAACTTCTCAAGTTGGGTTGTTCTTGTCCAGTAGGATCAATCGCCCACTTTGTATTCTCCAAGTGGCCAGGAGTGTCAAGTTGGTAAGAGCTACCATCGACTTTGATCTGAGGATAGTCCTTTAAGTCCAGCATCTCGTGCGTGTCTGATTTGCTCAACAGTAAATGTCTGCCTCACTTTTATTGTCTTGTAATTTTTTAATTCACATTGAATAAAAAGAATGCCTCATAGCTTAATGTTTTTTTTATAAGTGTCTGAAATCAGAACGTAAACCTGCATAAACTTGTTGAGATGTTTTTGGATGATAATTGAGAAAGAAGCTTTTACATTTGGTTGCCTTGGAGGAACATCAAGGCAAGACCAAGACCAAATCTTATCAGAGAGACTTTGAAGCTGGGGGCCCTTTGGGACTATTTTGCTTTGGCGTACAAATTTTACCTTTATGACCTATCATAAAATAAATCCAGTTTATTGCTGTATTTATGAGTACAGCCATTTAATACACAACAGCCTCAATGAATATTGAATACAGGATATGTTTGCATATGGGGCAGTCAGGCCATTTACTGCTGATGTGCTCTGTACCTATTGTTTATTTAGTTTGTTCTTGGAATATATTTGGGACCATAAATATTTGCTTTGTCTAAGGCTCCATATACACGAGCAGCTGCTAAACTCACGTTTAGGAGCTTTTTGGCATTTTTTTTTCCAAAGCTCCCAATAACTCCAGAAAAGCCTATGTGTCCATGTACACATAGGCTTTTAGCAGAGTTTAGGAGCTGCTTCTATTTAGGTGAAGAATTGCATTCAGGATAGGAACGCTTCGACCATGGGAAACTGCAGTACCACGTTTTTGCCGCAATTTGCGATTTCCGGTCACAGTAGGCTTTTGGCAGAGTTTAGGAGATGCCGTGTGAATGCGAAAGAATCACGTTCAGAATAGGAACGCTTTGACTACCGACCGTGAGAAATTGCAAAATGCGGTAAAAAATGCGTACCACGTAATTTTCACAGCGGCCGGCGGTCAGAGTAGGCTCGTGTACATGAAGCCTTAAGTAGTGCAATATATATGTTTGTGCCCTTTTCGTTATTGTTACTTTGAGCTTTTATATTCATTATCCATCCACAGAAGCCCTGGTTCCATGATCTTCATGAAGTTTGGAAGGGTTTCCCTAAACAGGTAACTATGAAATTTAAAAAGGACCTTACCCAACTCAGCCTATTGATAGTATTGTCTAATAGGATGGAAGGGGCCCCATGGTTCCTGCCCTTCCCCTATATAATGTAGGAAGTAGGACAACTAAACCCCCTCCCCTATCCACTCATTGTTGTTTGAAGTCATCTTCAAATTAATGTGCACCCCCCCCCCCCCCTTCCGCTCTACACACAGCATATGCGGAATACATTTTATTTATTATTTCAGGTACTTTTATAGCGCCGTCAATTTACACAGCGCTTTACATACATATTGTACATTCACATCAGTCCCCAACCCTCAAGGGGCATACAATCTAAGGTCCCTAACCCTCAAGGGGCATACAATCTAAGATCCCTAACCCTCAGGGGGCGTACAATCTAAGGTCCCTAACCCTCAAGGGGTGTACAATCTAAGGTCCCTAACCCTCAAGGGGCGTACAATCTAAGGTCCCTAACCCTCAAGGGGCGTACAATCTAAGGTCCCTAACCCTCAAGGGGCGTACAATCTAAGGTCCCTAACCCTCAAGGGGCGTACAATCTAAGGTCCGTAACTTACATTCATACATACACATACTAGGGCCAATTTAGACAGGAGCCAATTCACCTACCAGCATGTCTTTGGAGTATGGGAGGAAACCAGAGTAGGCACAGGGCCTATGTCTTTGGAGTGTCGGAGGAAACCCACGCATGCACAGGGCAAACATGCAAACTCCAGGCAGTTGGTGCCATGGTTGGAATTCGAACCAGGGGCGAACTGATCATTTGGAAACTCGGGCACTGCCCGAGGGCCCAGGGTCAGTTGGGGGCCCCATGAGATGCCCCTGGTACCTTTTTCATAAGCTTTTTTGAGTTTGGGCAAGGACACAGGGGCCCCATGATCCCCTATTGCCCGGGGGCCCCATGAGTTGTCAGTCCGCCCCTGATTCGAACCAACGACCCTAGTACTGTCAAGCATGCTAACCATTTATCCACTGTGCTGCCCAATATTGCATGGAAAGATCTAATAAAGAGGATTACCTTAACCAGGGGCGGACTGACCATTCGGAAACTTGGGCTCTGCCCGAGGGCCCAGGGTCAGTAGGGGCCCCATGAGATGCCCCTGGTACCTTTTTCATAGGTTTTTTTGAGTTTGGGAAAGGACACAGGGGCCCCATGATCCCCTATTGCCCAGGGGGCCCCATGAGTTGTCAGTCCACCCCTGACCTTAACCTTTGATCTGAAAAAGCTGGTGCTCTTATTCTCTTCTCTCAAGCACCAGATTGTGGGTGGGCCCTCTCTGACATCCTGTAAAAATGCAGGAACAGCGGTGGCCTCTGGCCCTGCATTGTATGCAATGACATCAGTGAGAGGGGTGGAGAATCGAGGTTTCAGGAGACTGGTGGGGTGGAAGATTTCAGACCTCTGGATTAAGGGATTAGATCCCATCTAAACAAAATATTCTGCATATACTGCGGAATGAGGTGACGGCCCAGAGTTCTGAGTTCTGCATTAAAGGAAAGTTATACTTTTTTTTTTTTTTTTTTTTTTTGTATTATGTTCATAAAAAAGTTTTTCTATTTATTTTTGGGGGGGGGGGGTGAAAAAAAAATAGGGAAAGAATATAAAATGCATCATAATATTATATTTCCTACCAGCAGATGCAGCCCCAGACTCCTTTTCACTTCACTTATTTAGTAGGCTATCCTTACTGGCTTCACTCTACTTGTCTGCTGAGTTCAGTAGCACAAGCTGAAATTTACAGATAGGGCACGCAAGTAGACTCATTCCAAATTCACGTTTATCCTGGTGAAAATAATATTCACATTTGTACTGATGTAGTTAGGGGGATTGGCACAAACACATGTTGTTTTTTTTTTTTTTTTTTTTTCTTTAGTTTACAAAACTGGTAGGTCTGTATTTTAGTATGTTTTTATGTTGTGATCATTTGCTGTGTTCTACTCTAAATGTTTGATTGTGTATCCTCAGACTATGCTGCCCTCACAGTACTGGTATTATATGATAGAACTGGGCTTCTACTGGTCTCTCCTGTTCAGAGTGGCATTTGATGTCAAGAGGAAGGTAAGTAGCCCTATTGGATAGGTACATCATTGCACACCTGCCCTATGGATTAAGAGACATTGGGGTTGATTTACTAAAGGCAATTAGACTTTGCAAAGTGAAAGTGCAGTTACTCCAGATCTTAGTAAATAAGGTAAAGCTTCCCTTTGCCAAGAATACCCAATCACATGCAAGGAAAATTAACCCCTTGACGTCGACCGTACGCAACTATGCAGCCTCTCGGCAGCTGGGCCTTGACGCTGAGCGGCCGTATATTTGCATACAATTTGAAAACACATATGTGCTGACAGCGCGCGCCCTGCGATCTCCCAGTACATATGTCGGTGTCTCACAGAAAGGTCCCGATCTCCCCTTGCGATCGGGACCTTTTCCAATCATGTGACCGACGTGACATCGAATCACGGTGGTCACATGACCCTAAAACCCTGCCCTCTGAAACCCCTTAAAGGGTCGGGAGGCGTGAAGAGGTTAAGAAAAAAACTGCATTTTTGTTTGCACATGATTGGATGATGGAAGTCCGCTTTTCTTCTGGTCGTTGACTAAGCTCTGGAGCAACTGCACTTGCAGAGTGCCGTTGCACTTTGTCAAGTGCACAGTCTAATTGCCTTTAGTAAATCAACGCCATTGTAACATTTTCCTTTTATTATGGAGGTCCTGTTCTTATTTAAAGCTGCATATTGTTTTCTGTGAGTTTTTAGAACAGCAGCTTGGAGCTCAGCCTTGACCATTTGCTCACAGGATGAATAGGGCTCAGTGTTTCCCGTGAGGCATTCACCCTGACCAGCTGCTTACGGCACAAATGAGTCTCAGTCCTTCCTCTAAGGGATCCACCCTGACCAGGAATTGAACATTTTATAAAGAAAATTATGCAATGATGTGCCCAAAACTGTTATGGTGACTTGTATATCTTGGTGACAAAGTTCTGTAGCCTGTTACAGTATATCTCTGTGAGTAGCTGGATAAGTCTGTGGGGAAAACTGGCTTGTTCTATTTTCTGCAGGACTTCAAGGAGCAGATCATCCACCATGTGGCCACCATTGTTCTGATCAGCTTTTCATGGTGTGCAAATTACATTCGAGTGGGCACTTTGGTCATGGTCATCCATGATTCTTCAGACTTCTTCTTGGAGGTGAGATATCTTGCTTAAGTTTAGTGGATATTGAGTGTGAGTGGATATTGAGTGTGTGGGGGACAGTCACCTAAAACACCTACCAGGCATCCCTGAGACAGGCAACCAAATCATATTTTTGGTGCCTTTAGACAAGCCTGGCCAACTCTTCTACAGGGATACAATAAACTAGAAAGGTTGGAAAACAATGTTTGATATTGTACTCCAAAAATGAGCCAGCACTGGAGTTGTCACTTTGCTGCAACCTACATTCCACCTCTCCATGGCTGGACCTCTCCATGGCTCCAGCTCTCCTGTGTCAACAGTATTCATTTTCATTTGAGTTTTGCAGTCCCGTGCAAGTCAATGAGAGTGCAAAACTAGCTTGAATGTTAAATGTGGGTCAGAAGGAGGTCAACAGCAAGTCAGATAGACTTTTTAATAGATTTTTAATGATCTCCAAAGTATCTCAAATGGATGTCATCCAACCAAGCCCAAAACCCATTGACAAAGGCCTTTAAACTGAGGTGTAGAGTGGGGTACAAGCTTGAGGTTGTCTTCCTTTGTCTTCAGCCAGTTGGACATGCAGAGTCTATGGGTAGCTTTAGGTGAAGGAAGAATGAAGGTCCTCCTACAATGCCTACTATTCATGTGTCAAACACAGGTGAAATGTATAAATTTTGACGACTAATTATTATTCTGCTTCTTTACTTCTAGTCTGCCAAGATGTTTAACTACGCCGGCTGGAAAGAGACCTGCAACAATATATTTGTGGTGTTTGCTTTAGTGTTCATCATTACAAGGATTGTCATTTTGCCCTTCTGGTGAGTAAATGTTCACTGCCTGACCATGGTCTCTACTGGTGGTTAATGGAACGCTCAAGTCTTTGAATCTGACACATAGAAATGGTGACATGGTACCCACTATAGACTTCCCCAGACTGCCCAGGACCAACAGTTCGCTCAGCGCTTTATAACATAAAGGGAGACAATACAGCAACAATACAGTTCAATACAAGAGGGATAGGAGGGCCTGATCCTGGGAGCTTACAATCTAAGAGGAAGGGGCTGGAGCAGGGGTAGGCAACCTGTGGCTCTCTAGCTTTTGCAGAGGCATGATGGAACTTGTAGTCCTGTGGCTCTCAGGTTGCCTACCCCTGGGCTGGTGGTATAAAAGGTAATAACTGTGGAGGATGGACTGGTAGGAGGAATAGAAGATTCCATTATTAGCTGAGGGCAGGATAGGCTTCCCTGAAGAGAGAGGTTTTCAGAGATCACCTAAAAGTGGGCAGAGTAGGCGATAGTCTGATAGATTGGGGGTAGAGCGTTCCAGAGGATGGGGGAGGCTCTGGAGGAAGTCCTGGAGATGAGCATGGGAGGAGGAGACAAGGGAGCTAGAGAGCAGGAGGTCGCGGGAGGAGCGGAGAGTATGGTTTGGGTGATATTTGGAGGCAAGATTGATGATGTACAGTTGTGTTCAAAATAATAGCAGTCAGACATCACTAACCGGATCAATCACTGTTTTTGGTAGAAATGATATTTCTACATGGCACATAATTTCCTAGCAGGTGTAGTAGAGTAATAGAAATCCAACAGAGCCAACAGTCATGACATGCATGCTGCTGATTCTGTGTCATTGAATCACTCATTGAAAGGGGCATGTTCACAATAATAGCAGTGTGGAGTTCTATTAGTGAGGTCATTCATTGTTTGAAAAACAGGTGGCAATTATTGCCCTTATTTAAGGAAGGAAGGCAGCAAATGTTGTGCATGCTGGTTACAGTGCATTTCTCTCTGAAATTCTGAGGAAAATGGGTCGTTCCAGACATTGTTCAGAAGAACAGCGTACCTTGATTAAAAAGTTAATTGGAGAGGGGAAAACATATAAAGAAATGCAAAAAATGATCGGCTGCTCAGCTAAAATGATCACAAATGCTTTAAAATGGCAACTAAAACCTGAAAGACGTGGAAGAAAGCGAAAAACTACCATTCCAATGGATAGAAGAATAGCCAAAATGGCGCGGACTCAGCCAACAATCAGCTCCAGGAAGATGAAAGAAGGTGTGACGTTCCCTGTGAGGACTGTTACAATTAGAAGACGCCAATGTGAAGCCAAGCTATCTGCAAGAAGCCCCCACAAAGTCCCACTGTTGGAAAAAAGACATGTGCTGAAGAGGTTACAATTTGCCAAAGAGCACATTGACTGGCCTAAAGAGAAATGGCGCAATATTTTGTGGACTGATGAAAGTAAGATTGTTCTTTTTGGGTCTAGTGGCTGGAGACAGGTTGTCAGACGACCCCCAAACACTGAATTCAAGCCACAGTACACTGTGAAGACAGTGAAGCATGGTGGTGCAAGCATCATGATATGGGGATGTTTCTCATACTATGGTGTTGGGTCTATTTATTGCATACCAGGGATCGTGGATCAGTTTGTATACAGCAGAATACTTGAAGAGGTCATGCTGCCTTATGCTGAAGAGGAAATGTCCTTGAAATGGATGTTCCAACAAGACAACGACCCCAAACACACCAGTAAACGTGCAACATCTTGGTTCCAGACCAACAAGATTGACGTTATGGAGTGGCCAGCCCAATCCCCGGATCTTAATCCAATAGAACTTGTGGGGTGACATCAAAAATGCAGTTTCTGAGGCAAAACCAAGAAATAGAGAAGAACTGTGGAATGTGGTCCAATCATCCTGGGCTGGAATACCTGATCACAGGGGCCAGAAGTTGGGTGACTCCATGCAACACAGATGTACAGCAGTTCTCAGAAACAGTGCGACTACAACCAAATATTCATGAAGTCATTCAAAGGAAAGCAAAATCTTCAAACATTTCTCAGTTTATATAGTGAATGTTTGAGTTTGTAAAGAAGAATACAAACACTGCTATTGTTTTGAACCGTCTAATATTCACTTTTCTTCAATTTATTTAGAGGAACAACACAAATCTGATCTATTTTTCTTCATGTTTTGATTTGGAATAGAATGTGTCGTGTTCCCAATGCATTTGTGTGGATGGAAATAAAAGCTATTAGAAAGATTTTGAGCTTTATTCACTTTTTTCAACACACTGCTATTATTTTGAACACAACTGTAATTTGGGGCAAAGTTATAAATGGCTTTATATGTGATTGTTAATGTTTTGAATTTTATCCGTTGGGCAATGGGAAGCCAGTGGAGGGATTGGCAGAGAGGGGTGGAGGACACTGAATGGAGGCCAGTGGAGGGATTGGCAGAGAGGGGTGGAGGACACTGAGTGGAGGCCAGTGGAGGGATTGGTATAGAGGGGTGGAGGACACTGAGTGGAGGCCAGTGCAGGGATTGGCAGAGAGGGGTGGCATATATGGAATGGTTAGTAAGGTGGATGAGTCTGGCAGCAGCATTCATGATAGACTGAAGAGGGGATAGCCTGCGATTTAAAATTGAAGCTTTCAAACCCTTGGTGCCTTTGTCAGATTGACAGGCAACCTGAAACTAACCCTTTGCATACAAAACACCAAAATAAACAGCCTTATCTTTAAAGTAACATTTAAACGTGTTTGTATGTTATGCATGCCTGTTACAGTATGTGTGGGTTTCATGGCTAGTATTGTAACCTACCTGACATTCAACTTAGACATTAAACCACAACCACACAATACGAGGTCAAACTTGAACACTTTCAAATTGTAAGCAATCAGGCAGGCCCTTGCACTACATATGTAAGCAATCAGGCAGGCCCTTGCACTACATATGTAAGCAATCAGGCAGGCCCTTGCACTACATAGCTGAAGGTAAATCTAAAGCAAATTGAATAAAGAAAATTGTATTATGTGCGGCCAGCTTTAGAGTCCCTATTGTCAGAGAATTAATCCTAAAATCAATCTTCCCATACGTCTATACAGTATGTGCATTAGTGTATTGTTTGTATGTTACTTACCTGTAAAAGCCTCCCTTGTGTTAGACATCCAAAGGCTCCGAGACTACTGGGGCTGTTGTCATCACACCCATGATGGTGGCACCCAACAACCGACTCAGAGCTGTCATTCATGTGACACTCTATAGCAGCCTTTGTCAACCTTGTTACTTGAAGGAACCCTTGAAGTAATTTTCTGGTCTAGGGGAACCCCTTAAAAGCAATAATTGGGGGTCAACGGGAAATATGCTCCTTTTGTTGGTGGTCAGTGGGGAAAAATGCTCCCTTACATTGGTGGTCAGTGGGGAAAAAATGCTCCCTTACATTGGTGGTCATTGGGAAGAATGCTCCTTATATTGGAGGTCAGTGGGAAGAATGCCCTTTACATTGGTGGCCAGTGGGGAAGAATGCTCCTTACATTGGTGCTCAATGGGAAGAATGCTCCTTACATTGGTGGCCAGTGGGGAAGAATGCTCCTTACATTGGTGGGCAATGGGAAGAATGCTCCTTAAATTGGTGGCCAGTGGGGAAGAATGCTCCTTACATTGGTGGTCAATGGGGAAGAATGTTCCTTAAATTAGTGATCAGCTGGAAGACTGTCCCTTACATTGGTGGTCAGTGGGAAGAATGCTCCTTACATTGGTGCTCAGTGGGAAGAATGCTCCTTACAATGTTGGTCAGAGGGAAGAATGCTTCTTACATTGGTGATCAGTGGGAAGAATGCCCTTACATTGGTGGTCAGTGGGTAGAATATTTCCTTAAATTTGTGTGCATTGGGAAAAATGCCTTTTACATTGGTGGTCAGTGGGAAGAATGCCCTTTACATTGGTGGCCAGTGGGAAAGAATGCTCCTTACATTGGTGGGCAATGGGAAGAATGCTCCTTAAATTGGTGGCCAGTGGGGAAGAATGCTCCTTACATTGGTGGTCAATGGGAAGAATGTTCCTTAAATTAGTGATCAGCTGGAAGACTGTCCCTTACATTGGTGGTCAGTGGGAAGAATGCTCCTTACATTGGTGCTCAGTGGGAAGAATGCTCCTTACAATGTTGGTCAGAGGGAAGAATGCTTCTTACATTGGTGATCAGTGGGAAGAATGCCCTTACATTGGTGGTCAGTGGGTAGAATATTTCCTTAAATTTGTGTGCATTGGGAAAAATGCCTTTTACATTGGTGGTCAGTGGGAAGAATGCCCTTTACATTGGTGGCCAGTGGGGAAGAATGCTCCTTACATTGGTGGCCAGTGGGGAAGAATGCTCCTTACATTGGTGGTCAATGGGAAGAATGCTCCTTACATTGACCACCAAGGTAAGGAACATTCTTCCCATTGACCACCAAGGTAAGGAACATTCTTCCCATTGACCACCAATGGGAAGAATGTTCCTTACATTAGTGATCAGCCGGAAGACTGTCCCTTACATTGGTGGTCAGTGGGAAGAATGCTTCTTACATTGGTGGTCAGTGCGAAGAATGCCTTTACATTGGTGGTCAGTGGGTAGAATATTTCCCTTTATATTTGTGTGCATTGGGAAGAATGCCTTTTACATTGGTGGTCCGTGGGAAGAATGCCATTTACATTGGTGGTCAGTGGGAAGAATGCCCTTTACATTGGTGGGCAGTGGGTAGAATGCTTCCTTATATTTGTGGGTAGTGGCAAGAATGCTCCTTACATTGGTGGTCAGTGGACAGAATGCTGCTTACATTGGTGATCCGTGGGTAAAATGCTCCTTACATTGGTGATCCGTGGGTAGAATGCTACTTACATTGGTGGTCTGTGGGAAGAATGTCTTTTGCATTGGTGGTTGGTGGATCTTCTTTATTAATGTAAAGACTGCTGACCAACTACATCAACATCTACGCTCAGGTGCACAAAATCTAACACCGAAATATCCATTTTCGGTGGACTTATTAAAATAAAACCTTTTAGGATGCAAAGAGCACTGTGTTTAATGACCAGCCATTAAATGTGTTCTCTGATTTCAGCACATTTGCCATACACAGATTGGAGCATGAGTGGGAGGTTGCAGAACTATTATGCAGTATGCAATATGGGGAATGCTGGGGAATGTCCGCTTCTTCTGTAACAGCCTTCTCATATAGGTGATTGACTGTATGACCTTTAAACCCTATAGTAAGACTGAAGGTGAATCGTCCTTTTCTGCAGGATCTTGCACTGCACCTGGGTCTACCCTATAGAGATTTACCCGGCCTTCTTTGGATACTATTTCTTCAACGTCATGTTGTGGGTACTGCAGGGTCTGCACATTTTTTGGGCTTATCTCATTCTCGGAATGGCACACAAGTTCCTGACGGGCAAGGTAGGACAAATCATGATTTCTTTCTTTCATTAAGCAAACTGATATTAAAGTTCACAACTTTTATATAAATGCGGTCAGTGTTGGGGAAAAAAAAACTTTCTTGGCATGAATAAAGAAAAGTGTTGATCCTCCAAAACCACTTCTAGGGCCTAGAAGCTAGCAAAGGACACATGGTCTCTGGTTGCCAGGGGCATTGTGGCTCTTTTACTTCAGTAGAGACTGCATAGACCAGGGGTGTCAAACTGGTAGCCCTCCAGCTGTTGCAAAACTACAAGTCCCATCATGCCTCTGCCTTTTGGGAGTCATGCTTGTAACTGTCAATCTTGCAATGCCTCATGGGACTTGTAGTTTGGCAACAGCTGGAGGGCCGACAGTTTGACACCTATGGTATAGACTATTGTTACTCATGGTAGACACATAGTGAGCTCAGATGATCGGGACATGACCGGGAAGCAGAATCTGCACAATGTAGTATGCAAATAGGCCATAAAACACTTAATGTAATGCTTCAGACTAGAAGTCATTTGGGTACATGTTTACACTTGGAAGATATTGTAAAGCTGAACTCCAGGATCAGCAAATATTGTCTGAATACAAGAGCCACGTGTATTCATTCTTGTATCTTGGTGTGCTTTGTGTATTTCTTGCAGCTCTATATAGCAATCCATTGTGAAATGTTCAGGAGTTTCCTGTAATAAAGACCAGTCACTGCTGCTCTCCCCTTGTGCAGTGTGACTGGTCTAGTCACCGCCCCCTAATGTAGTTTTCTGCAGGCAGCCTGTTGTAGGCGAGCTGCTGGGTCCATCTCACAGCTCTGCTCTCTGCACACACAGTTAGGTCCATATATATTTGGACACAGGCACAATTTTCATACTTTTGGCTCTGTATGCCACCAGAATAAATTTAAAATGAAACAATCCAAATGTATTTGAAGTGCAGACTTTCAGCTTTAATTCAAGGGGTTGAACATAAATATCAAGTACAAATTTTAGGAACTTCAACCATTTTTATACACAGTCCCTCCATTTTAAGGGGCTCAAATGTAATTGGACAAATAAATATAATCATAAATAAAATGTTCATTTTTAAATATTTTTGTTGAGACTCCTTTACTGGCAATGACTGCCTGAAGTCTGGAACCCATGGACACTACCAAAGACTGGGTTTCCTCCTTTCTGATGCTTTGCCTGAAGTCTGGAACCCATGGACATGACCAAAGACTGGGTTTCCTCCTTTCTGATGCTTTGCCTGAAGTCTGGAACCCATGGACATGACCAAAGACTGGGTTTCTTCCTTTCTGATGCTTTGCCAGGCTCTAACTGCAGCTGTCTTCAGTTGTTCTTTGTTTGTGGGTCTTCCTGCCTTTAGTTTTGCCTTCAGCAAGTGAAATGCATGCTTAATTGGGCTGAGATCAGGTGACTGACTCGGCCATTGCAGAATATTCTGCTTCTTTTCCTTCAAAAGCTCCTGGGTTGCTTTTGCAGTGTGTTTTGGATCATTGTCCATCTGTACTGTGAAGCGCCATCCAATCAACTTTGCTGCATTTGGCTGAATCTGGGCTGACAGTATATCTCTAAACACTGCATCCGGCTGCTTCTGTCACATCATCAATAAACACCAATGACCCAGTGCCACTGGAAGCCATGCATGCCCATGCCATCACACTGCCTCCACCATGTTTTACAGATGACGTTGTGTGCTTTGGATCATGAGCTGTTCCAAGCCTACTCCACACTTTTTTTTCTTCCCGTCATTCTGGTACCGATTAATCTTAGTTTCATCCGTCCAAAGAATGCTTTTCCAGAACTGGTCTGGCTTTTTTAGATTTTTTTTAGCAGAGTCTAATCTGTCTTTCCTATTCTTCAAGCTTATGTATGGTTTGCACCGTGTGGTGACCCCTCTGTATTTGCTCTTTTGAAGTCTTCTCTTTATTGTAGACTTTGACAATGATACTAAAAAATTCTTCCTGCGCCTAGTGAAACACCCTACTATAGGTTCTATCCTGCTGCTGTGCAATGTGATCAACACAAATTGTAAAAAAAAATATATAAGTGAACAGCGTGAACAGGGTAACCTGGAGCTGTGATGTGAGATTCTGTGAGAGGTTGCCTTACATCTACTGTTCATCTGGAAAGAAGCTGGTCTTAATAAATATGCCTTTTTAAAGCGATTATAATGTGAGTGGCCTTAATCCTTGATTTCACTTATGAATGGTGTTTTGCAATATTACACTATCTGAGTTTTTTTCTCCCTGGTTGGATGGTGGAGTTGATGGTGGAGTCTATGCTGGAGGTGAGGATTCCTATAGAGTGGATACCAAAGAGGGTTTAGGATCCCATAAATTCCTAAAAGGCGTTTCATTCACCTTAATCTGGTGAGTGCATTTGATGTTGGTTTTCACGGGTGAAGGTGGAAGTTTCTTTATAATAGAAGAAGAATTTGAAAATTTCTGTTTGCACAAACTATTTTTGAATTTTATGTTTATTAATTTTGATGGACTTCACTATTTATTCAATTTTTATATATGTTTGCACTTTGTATATTGATTTGATGTAGAGGTCTATGTTTGCGCTGTTCACTTATATATTTTTGACAATGATACGCCCACCTCCTGGAGAGTGTCCTGGATGTTGTGAATGAGTTTTTCTTTACCATAGAGAGGATCCTGCGATCATCCACCACTGTTGTCTTCCATGGACGTCCATGCCTTTTTTATGTTGTTGAACTCACCAGTGTGTTCTTCTTTCCTCAGAATATACCAAACTGTTGATTTGGCCACTCCTAATGTTGCTGCTATCTCTCTGATGGATTTGTTTTTGTTTTGAAGCCCTACAATGGCTTGTTTCACTTGCATGGACAGCTCCTTTTGAACGTATGATGTATAAATCCTGTATAATAATAGGTTCACAGCAATAGATTCCAAATGCAAATACCACACTTATACCACCATCAACTCCAGACCTTTTACCTGCTTAATTGATGAAGAAATATCGAAGGCGTAGCCCACACCTGGTCAAGAAACAGCTTTGGACTCAGTTGTCCAATTACTTTTGGCCCATTGATAAATGGGGGATGGCTACTCTTAAAAGCTGTAATTCCGAAACCCTTTCTCCAGTTTGGATGTACAGACCCTCAAATTAAACCTGAGAGTTTGCACTTTCAGCCCATATCCATTATATAACTATAGCTTGAATATATGTTGGTAAATACCTGAAAAAATCTAAAATTGTGCCTGTGTCCAAATATATATGGACCTAACTGTATGTATTTGTTTTTAGAACACAGAATTGTGTACAATCTCTATATGGCTAAAAGTTTGTGGACCTAACCATATTATCTATAGAAGCTTGTTGGGTGTTCCAGGCCAAAACCGTAGCCAATTAATTTGGACATGACCTGACCTATCATGTATAGCTATAACAGCCTCCACCCTTCTCGGATGGTTTTTGACCAGATTTCATAGTGTGGCTGGGGGCATCTAGGCCCATTTGGCCAAAAGAGCATTTATGAGATTGATTACTGACGTCGGCAATAAGACCTGGCATGCATTCAGTTCATCCCAGTGATGTTCTCAGCAAGCCACTTGAGTTCTTCTGCGCCAGACAAATGTAATCACATCTTTATGGAGCTGAATTTGGAAGGGTGTTCACATACATTTGGCCAAAAGTATGTCTTTATTGTATTGGGCCTTATGTAGCACAGTGATGGAAATGGAGACCTGGACTTTCATAGTCACTGCCGTTCCAGGACTTCAGGTTCCTAATAAGAGGATAGTGTGTTACCCTACCACTGGGTAGGTTCACTTGACTTATAAGAGGCATGTAGAAATGTCCAAAAACTATATTGGTATTTAACGAAGGAGCTTGTAGAGTTCATTTTTTCAGGAAGATTTTCAAAATATCCTCCTATGCAATTCTACATCCAATGAATAGTATATACCATAGCTCCTTCTATTGGAAAGGGTGAAGGCCCCTCCCTACAGATGCATCTGTTTTGGGTCCCTCATTCCTCTCCATCCTGTCAATCGCAAGATGGGCTGATTTTCACAATAACAATGGCTCCAGGCCATTCAAATCACACATGTGTTCTTTCCCAACTCCAGCCTAGCTTAGGCCAATCTGGGTCATTCAAGCTCTGTGTTCAGTGCTCCTTGTCTAGCTGAATGGCCCAGAGCAGCCACTGGAGAGCTAAGCTGAAGCTGGGAGAGGACACACTGCACACTGGTGCAGTTTGAACGGCCCAGGGCAGAGCTAGGGGGCGCACTATTGTGAAATTCAGCTCATCCTAAAAATGGCAGGAGAGAGGGGAAAGTGCTTTTTCTGGAGAGGACCCAAAGGAGCTGTATCTGTAAGGGGAAGACCTTCATCACGTCCAACAAGAGGAGCTGTGGTATGTCTTATTCATTCAATGTACAGTTGCATATGGGGGATTTTCTAAAAATCTTCATTAAAGGTGACCATACACTTTACATTCATTACATTGGATATAAAAAGTCTACACACCCCTGTTAAAATGTCAGGTTTCTGTGATGTAAAAAAAATTAGACAATGATAAATAATTTCAGAATTTTGTCCACCTTTAATGTGACATATAAACTGTACAACTCCGTTGAACAACTGAAATCTTTTAGGTGGAGGGAAGTAAAAATTAAAATCGAGTTGCATAACTGCACACCCTTAACCTAATCCTTTGTTAAAGCCCCTTTTGATGTGATTCCAGTACTCAGTCTTTTTGGGAAGAAGTCTATCAGCATGGCACATCTTGACTTGGCAATATTTTCCCACTTTTTCCTTCCAAAAACACTCCAAATCTGTCTGATTACAAGGGAATCTCCTGCACACAGCCCTCTTCAGATCACCCCACAGATTTCCCATTGGATTCAGGTCTGG